ACTCTTATCTTTAATCCGTGAATAGAACAATTATTGCTGCTGCTTGGATGCTTTTTATTGCTGCTCAAACACACAATAAACATCATGATGATGATCCTTGAATGATGGAATTTTTTTTTTGTTGATGATAAGCTCGGTTGATTGTGGTTTGGTTTGCTTTCTATCATTCTCCCCCGCACACTTACCATACTTTTCTTTTGACTAGAATTTATATTCAATATAAACGGATAAAGGTGGTGATGATAATGAATGACCATCAATCAATATGAAATTTGAAATTTGAAATCATCCTTCATAAATATGAATAGACGTTTTTTTTTTGTTTTTCATCGATAGGATTTTTAACAACAAAGAAAAAAAAATCTCATTCAAACAATCAGCCAACGATTCTTTTCTGGAAAAAAATCTGTTATTTCCCTTCATCGAATTGAATCGATATAATCGATTTAAAATCAATCAAAATTTTCCTTTCATCTTTAATGATGATAATAACTATGATGATTGTTGATTGTTGATTGTACATTTTCGGATTTCCTTTTCCACGTTTTTACTCACTTTCCTTTCACTTTCGTTTTTTCCCATTAGATAACAATAATAATTTTCCAATTGATCCTTAGCACCTTTTCCAAACAATGATGATGATCACTTCCTGAATTTTTTTCCTGAAAAAAAATTGTCATCAATTGACAAAAGTACAATCATCAAACGTAATCATAGTGAACATGATTTTCAAAAACATGTTCAAGTACAATACAATTGATTGTCACCATTATACAATCATCCTTTTTTTCATTCATAATTTTCTGCTTGCTTGTATCATAGGCCATTAAGATTAATTTTTCTACTAACATTGATCAATCGATCAACCAATCAACCAAGAATAAAGTAACAAAGTTATTGAAGCAAAAAGAAAATAATGATGGTGGCCATCGAAATCGATAAGGAACACATGATTTTTTTTCATTCAATAATCGTTCGTCTCTTTCTCTTAACTCTCACTGAATTGAATTTCAAAGCCAGCCATTTAGATTTGGATTGAGAAAAAAAACACGCGTTTTTCTTTCTGTTTCTGCATGCTACGGGATAAAACTTCTGAAGAGAGAGAATTGTTGAAGAACAAGATCAACAAGACGACGACGGACGAAGAACATGTAGCAAAAAAGAAAATAAAGAAAATAAGGGAGAGTCAAGCAGAGAAAAAAACCACACCACCATTGACCAAACATTATTCAGTATTTTTCAGTGGTCGTTGCATGTTGTTTGTTTGGACATTTTTTTTTCATGGAATGTTGCCGCCGCCGAATAGGAAAAACTCGCACTAGATTACCTTCACCTGTTGTTGTTGTTTTAGTTGTTTAGGAGTTGTTAGGATGGTTTTTTTTGAACGAAAAAAAATATTTTCACTCTCAGTCATCATCCATGATCATCGTTGATGCAGTACATCCACATTGTGCATCAATGCATGTTGTGTATCTGTGTTTTTTTTTTGTTTTGGTTTCTTCTTGGTTAGGTTGGTTGATTGGTTGATCAACAAACAACCAAAGTGAACATCACATCATTGCATTACTCGATTTGCTCATTATCATTGTGTTTGATTTTTGGTTTCAAATTTTTTCTGTTTACCGGCCTGTTTTTCAAAAAATTTGAAATTTGAAAATTCAATGTTAATGATGATGATGATGACAACCACGTGCAACAACAATAGCAACCGCAAAACATCCTGATCTAATTTATTTTGTTTTTTTAATGATATCATTGTAAATTTATAAATTTTCAAATGATTTTACTTTTGACAGTTTTATGAAATAATGATTTATGATTTTTCGGTTTTTTTTGAAACATCCTTGTCATCCAATTGTGTTATCATTAACATTCGATCATCATATTTTTTCCTTCTTCTTCTTTCTCTTGAGTTTTTTTTATTAAAAATATATGTTCAAATCTTATCATTAAACAACCAAAAAAAAAATTGTTTATGTTTTTGGCTTTTACTTTTTTTTAAATAACATTCAAATAAACATCATCGACAATGGTGATGACAATCGCTTAGTGTTATAAAACCAGCCAAATATCAGCAAGGCAACATATTTGTAACAAACATATTTGCAAACAAGTGAAAAAAAATTGAATGTTGTTTTTTTGCTGCTGTTCCAAACAAAACAAAAAAAAAATGGCTTCAAACATCAACAAATTTTTACATTTTGTCATATCTAACCTAATCTAATCAATCAACCAACCAACCAATCAAACAGCAACCAGATTTTCATCAAAAATTGTTTTCAAACCTTTAGCTATTTCTGGTGGTGTTTTGTGTTTTGTTTCGTTTTTTATCCATAAAAAAAATCAAACATCAAAAATCAAACATCCTGATCGAACATCGAAACATCAATAAAACATCAACCGGATATATTTAATTGGTTCGTTTTGTTTCTCTCTTTGTTTTTTTAAACCGATAAAAATCGATAAAAAAACAAT